AAAAAGCAGATTAAAAAAAAATATAACATTAAATTTTTTTATATTATTTCATACGATTTGGAACTTTCGATAAAACAGAACATAAAGCTAACCGTGGGTTTCTCAGACCAAAATATCCGATTAAAACATACTGTTTCTCTGTTTTGTCAAAGATAATGACAGGGATGACGATATGTTTTATACAGAGGTTTTGGTCTTAGAAAACAGCGCTTAGTAAATTTTTACTAAAAAAATACGTGCCAGTATCAACCTACCAGCCCCTGAACTATTCTTCGATAGCTGTCTGTTTTCCATAGAGACTTTGTTAAAGGGTCTCTTTTGTTCTAAATCTTGCCTAAATCCCTTTTATGAAATTAGTTAACACCGAAACGTTATTTTCTGACTAGTGGCCCCCTAAACGCTGTTTAAGGGACTCCTAAATTTAAGAGATGGCTGGTGAAAATGGCCATAAAAGGCAATAAAACATCAATAAAGTAATTCCCTAATGTGATATTTAAGATGAAGTAAATTGTAACGAGTCGATGGGCCGCTATCAAGACTGCTCCACTTGCGAGCAAACGAAACAGGGAAGGAAATGGCCGTCGATAGCCCTGCGAACTGTTTGATATCGTCATGACTCATGTTTTATTGACACCGAATAAACAGCAGCATATCAATCCTAACCGTAGATTTCCACTGTCATGAGACTTGTTATTTATTACTTATTGTCATCCCATTCTCTTTGACAAAACACGGACTGTTGTTTCCAACTATGGAATTCTACTATAACATATGTATCTAACACAACTAGTGATTGACTAGAAAACACTCATTTCTCTATCAAAATATATTCTTATATCTTGTCTTCAGAGAACGTGATAAATGTAGAATATCAATTGTATTGAATTTGACGTATAAGTCTAGAACTTTCGATTGTTTTTCGTTATGTTGTCAATAATGTAGTCATACAATAAAATATTTTTGAGCAATTTATAACGTTCCAATGAGAAACCTTGCCTACTTTAACCCTTATGTTCATTTTGTATAGTACCATACATACAACTCAATAAAAATATACGAACATTATAAAATAATTTTTAATTTAATTAATAAGAGCGTCGGTGGCTCAGGGGTCAAGCACTTGACTTGCAATCCGCAGGTCCTGGGTTCGAGTCCCGCCATGTACCAATGTGTTTTTCGATTTCCGATTTACATATGTACATTTATTCGACGTTCTTACGGCGAAGGAAAACATCTTGATGCAACCTGAACATATCTAAAAGTAATTCAAAGATATGTGTGAAGTCAACCAACCCGCACTTGGCCAGCGTGGTTGACTATGGCCTAATCACCCTTAACTTAGGGTAGGCTCCGAACCCCTCGGTGGGGACGTATAGTGAGCTGATGATGATAAAATAATTTTTAACTTAGTTTTATTAAACTTATTTTTGCTTTTGTGTATTTTTAGCTTTACTTCAGAAAAGAGATCTTGCCACAATAAGGGTTAACAATCTATTATCTCTAGAATTGCTTTTCGGTTGTTTATAAGCACAAGTAAAATGGAACATGAATAGAAACTATGTACTCTGATAAGATTTTAGCGAATATAAAAACAGCAATCGTTACTCTTTCATATTAGTTTGAGAAAGAAAGATTTTATCTACCTTCATTATATTAAAATCCATCTAGGCGCCATATAGACTATCTCATAATTAAAGGTCTTGCATATTTTATCATATTTAGGGGTAAGTCAGGCGACCACGTCAAAGAACGTTTGTTACAGAAACAAATCGGCTGGAAGTGTTGAGGCGCCGATATGTCGTGGCTAGTCTGATAGAGGTGAATACATTACAAAGTTTTTTATTATTTTTATTACATTGATTCCATTGCAATATAATTAACCCATATTACATTTAGAATCATAGTTGTGACTTTTGAATGTGACACTTGAATTAAGACATTTTTTTTACCTCACATTCCTTACGAAAAAACATCATCATCATCAGTTCATACGTCCTCACTGAGAGCCTCGGAGCCTACCCTATATGAGAGTTGTCTAGGTCTTAGTTAAGTACTGGCCAAGTGCACGTTGGTTGACTACATACATACATATCTTTGAATTTCCTCTCAGATATGTGCAGGTTGAATCACGATGTTTTCCTTCACCGTAAATCAAAAATAAATTAACATATGCCGGGATTCAAACCCCGGACAAGCATATTGCAAGTCAAGTGCTTAACCCCTGAGCCACCGAAGTTCTTAAAATAACAGACAGTAACAACAATTTGTAACGATACAAGTTTCACTACAGTGGAAACCCAAAGGCAGGCAGACAGGCAAACACTAACATGCATGTGATAAAACACTACAAAAATAATACTGGCTTGTAACTATAGAGAAATACGAGTATCTACATAATCTGTTAAATATACTTGAATATGTTGAGAGTTGAAACCAAGTTTTGGAAGCCGTTCGCCTTCAATGAACGAAGTATTACTTTGTGCAACTTGTGCATAAATAATTAAGTAACATGATATTTTTATCATTTAATATAATGAAAAAGATCTATATATAATTAGTAAACTGTAAAATAGCACGAGAACCCTACGTTTTCGCTCCCCCGAATTATTTATAGCTGTCCTTTTGTAAAAGGGCATCGAATACAGTAAGATATCCCCGTCATGGCACAAATATAGCGATGGACCCGGCAAAAAAAGTAAGTAAACAACAAAAATAGCCGTTGAAGGAAAAATAAGTTGTTATTTTTAAATTTTTTAGAGATTTTTCTTGAGATTTATTGTTACTGACAAAATATGGACTTAGGCCGTAAATAAACGAACTTCATGTTCGTACTGATTACATCGTATACAATTGAAAATCACTAGGAGATAAAACTAAGAACTTCTAATTAGAAGATATAATAAGTTATGTACCAAATTGTAAAACATACAATTTGTAAATAAATAATCAGGAACGGCTAGGATGCGACAAAAACAAGAAAACATAAATACGGGGCTCTCAGAGCACGTTCGATGCTTGCGCAAAATGGCCATCAGCATATCAGATGTCGCAGATCACGCTCTTACCTCCGACACATCTCATTTAGTTTGATCGAGTGAAAGTTCTTGCCTCGCGGGAAGAATTTTGTGTCACCTAAGTGACTAGACTTTAAAAGAGATAAGGTTTGGTATCTGTCTCCGACCCGTGTTGCTAGGATCGAAGCAGAAAAGCAACGATGATGGTGATGATTACGTGTCGGACATCGTCAGGACCTTTTTAGCCCCTGAGTGACTCATCAATTTTGAACTCGTCGACATCGACGTCGCCGTTGCACACAACGGCCACTGCGCTCCCTGCGCTCCCCGCCCTCTCGAACCGGGCGCACCGCGCACTAGCCCTCAGTGCGAAACGCGACGCGACCGCGAAAAACCCAAAATAAACATTCGTCTTGAAGATGGACCCCGATGGGTACAAAATTAGTCGGTGCTGTCACCAGACTATATAGTTACATGTGAGTTAAGCCGTTTCTACTGAATTTATTATAAAGTCTCACAAAAGAAACAATTACTACAATTTGATGCGTAATAATTTAATACAATTTATGTTTTATTTATATCTTTAAGGTGCGTTTTCACCAAGAATATGTTTTAATTAAATGTTACGGCAGAGGGATTTCACGGTAGGAATTTTTAGATGCACTTACTTGAATTGAAGCATTCAAATTCATTCCAACATTTGTAGAAGGTCTAACAATGTGTGTACAGATGTAAATAGATTTTTCCTTCGTGTGTGTGTATTGTGCATATGTGTGAGTACATTGTATAGTAACGAGCAGACATGACGTGCTTTTAAATTGATTAAAGTGCATCTATGTTGACGCGTGTGCTTTAAGTATTACGTTAGATTTCCACTTCAACATCCGTATGAAAACATTTTTTGTTTTCGTAAAGATATTTCAGCAGTGGAAACTCACGGCAAGTTTGCGACTGTCGTTGATGAAAGTTTATCAATAAAGTAAAGAAATGTCACGACACAAATAGGCGTGTTAATGACTACTTATAACAGTCCTGAGATTGCTATTATTATATCAAATTTAGCTTATTATAGTGGAATACTTAAAAAAATACTATTGGTATGATATTCTGTATGTCGATTTCCCGCCATTCCAAATTACTCCTTTGTTGCTGGCTTATAATTCACACAGTGGATTGCACTGCCGAATAGAAAAAAAAACACATTGTTGTCCCTTTCGTTCTCTTTGAAAAAAACAGAAACAACAAAATGATTTTGTACAGTTGCTTCGACAATGGACGCCCACGCGTTGAATAAGATTATAGAAAATGAAAGTGTAAATATATTTTGCAAAACTTGTTTGTCTTTACTTTTAAATCTTGTGTATTATTTAGTACCTATTTGGTACAAATAATTTCATGACATTTTGTGATCTAATTCAGCTAAGCCAATTGTTTTGACAGTTACTAAATATACAATACAATGTTTGCTTCAATTTACTTTGTATAATTCCATTTATTCATATATCGAGGTTAAGATATTGTTTTCGTTTATATTGGTATATCATTTGTGGTAAAATACTAGGTATTTGATTTGGCACATTGGGAACATAAATACTCTTGTGCCAGACGTGCCAACTCAAGTGATGTATAATTGTGTATAATTTGATATAATTGGACACTTTAGATATGTAAACAATTGTTTACTCCATACTATGGGGATCATTTTTTTTTGGTTTTTATTAATCGTTAAGTATAGTATCTTCTTAAATAAATTCTTCAGCAGTCTGTATGTTATACCTTAATCTTCATTGTTTTGACCAATACAATTCGTATAAGATTTTGAAAACACCTGATTCTTTTGATAGAAAGTGAAAATAAAAATCAAACATAAAATTTCAAAATAAATATTTTATAAATAAATAATGGCTTTATTAGATACACATAAAATTCTAACAGAACATTTAAATAGAGATATTGAATAGAACTCAATAGTTACAAAGTAGGTACCTTATTACTTTGCTTCATTATTCAATTATTTCAGCGAAGTGTAGCATCGAAGGCGGATTTATCGGCAAACTGTATGAGTACCTAGGCACAGAAATAGTTTAACCCAGTGATAGTTAGGTCAACTGTATTTCACTCCGCTACTGATACTGTTTTAGTAAACAGTTCTCCAGGCTCACTTTCAGTCAAGGCGAGAGATGTGATAGCTCGGCTTACGTAAGCGCCGCCTGCATTCATAGCATGCCCGCGCGGATGTAGTATCAACTTACAAGGCCAATACTTTCGTTGAGACGACACCGTGACTCTGCAATCGGGCGTCAATCGTCGCAGCGATCAGACGCCACTTGAGCACGTAACCGCCAATTTGTGTGCAAATAAACAAGACCATGGACCGATAAAGACTGTCGCGCCCCGCTGCGCAGGCACGCCGCGCCGCGCCAGCTCGGTTCAATGACACGATTTTACTTATATGGAAGTAGCGCCATCTGTTATCACTCGGGGTAATGTCAGTATCATTAGCAACAATTCACTTACGTGAAGATTTCGACTTCCAGTCACACCTCGTCGGTCGAATCCGATAATTATGAATATGCACACACAAATAACAATAGCTTTTTGTTGACAAACAACCGGCCACACAAGCAAATCACACCCACAACACAATCCTTAGCAAGGGCCAGGGACGGACTGGAGGCGATGCATCGTGACGCGATCCCTTTCGTGCGTAGGGCGAGAGCCGAGATCCGACGCAGCGCACATTGGTCGGGTAGGGGACCAATCGCGGAGGCGGCGACGCGGCCGCATCGCGGTGGGGAAAACGAGAGAGGAATTCGCCAGTCAGTTCTGTCATTCGTTTCAAACACAAATTGGTGTGCGAGGCCACACCGCTTTGTATAGAGACACCAATCGGCAGCAGGCTATTAGACGCCGGCGGATGGAGCCGGGGCCGTTAACCTAGACCAGCCGAGCCCTATCCGTGTTCCAGCAGCACTCCCTCTGAAACTGAATGTTTGCCTTTTGAAATAGGGCAGTCCGTTCTAGCTGCACAAATCCCGGAATTGCTGTCCTTTTCCGCATCTGAAAAGCATCGTCCAATGTAACTTTAGCCAAATTAACATTTACATATACTTATAATACGTCGTACCTATACGAGCAACGAAATCAGCTTTGCTTTGATACAGCATTCAGATAATCCTCAAAGGTAGATACGAACTATGCATCTGTAGTCCTACACCCCAATTGATATAAGCATTAAAATAATAGAAAACGATATTGATGTTGATTTATATTTTAAACCATTTTTCAAAATGACGAAGCTGAAATTACTACTACTGACCATTTCCTAAAAGGCTTTAATGATTTTAAACTAAAGGGAATACCTGGAAATACAATTTAAAAAGACTTTTTTATACCAAGGTATGGGGATTAACGCACCCCCTCTGAATCACAGTAATTACGGCAGCAATGTTTGACATACTCATTACGACAAACAAGACTCCCTGATTTATAAAAAGATGTTATTTGCCAACCGTAAATAATATTTACATATTACCATCATTGCCCGTTGTACCAATAAGAATAAAATTTGAGCTGTTACATTCGAAGCGTGGATGCGTAAGATGAATATGGTTGTGAAAGAAACGGAGAACATTAAATGAAATTTGTATAATAAAATAAATCTAGAAATTAATTTAAATTGTCATAAAGTCGATTAGCAATAATCTATTTCCTGGATTCACATTTATAGTTTACAGAGATAAGTACTCTGAGACCTATTGAAACGAACCTTTTGACCCGATAATGTATAATATTGTTATCCTACAACTTCACTGACGTGACGCTTGTATCGATACCTATTGTCATCTCTTTCATTCTCTTTGACAAACAGAGACAACAATATGTATTTATACATGTGGCACTACAGTCGAAACATACTGTAATATCTTATCAATCAAATGAACACTGTTACAAACAAGGTTTTTCATTTGCTCACAATGATAGTCACTGTTTGTTCAAATTTACTTTGTGATTCCTTCGTAAGGAATATTATTAGTAGATATAAATACCGATATTAAATACTTTGTCGTCTTCGATGTTTCTTGCAGTCACCAGTATTTATATATTTGTTATTGACTCATTTATCGCTTAAATCATTGAGTCTTATCAAAGGATCGCCGTAAATAATACTATCTAGTTTGTTTATGGATAAACTTTATTGCGTGAATGTTAAGAGATATTTGTATTATTCTTATTTTGCGATGTTGGTCGCTGGCACTCACATCGACTACGTCCAGCCCTGGTGACCGCCTCACCGGCCATGTTGTTCACTTCCCACCATGCCGCACCTCCTAGCATGTTGCGGAAGTAAGGAGGGATAGATTCCTCGCGTAACAGTTGCCTAAACAAACAATAAGTTGTAAGGTACAATAACAATAAAGACGACAGAAAACTATTGAGCTCTATAACTATGCGGAGGCGATTTGGCTTATTCTGGCGTCCTACTATCACTATAAATTACACAAAACAAGAATAGTTACACGTGGCCTGAAGTAGACAACTATCCAACAACTATTTTGAAAAATGGAACCAAAATGTCTAACTTAAAAATTGATTATGTTTTATAGTCTTACTTTATTCATCGACTCGAGAACTGTGAAATTGTTGGCGCGAAAAACAAAGCCGATTATTGGGCCTTACGCTGCTTTATTTATGTCGCGTATTTTTCTACAATATCTATACATGTCTTGGTTCGCAGTTTAATAGTAAACCTAAATATTATATTAAGGTACGCTTATACAAATCACCGAACCTAACCCATCTTAGTCAGTTGGAATTAATGACATTCGATCAATAAAGCTATCCCTATTGTAACTCCCACACATTGCGTTTAACCCTTACCCTATAATCTGTAGGTTATTGTCACAGGGAAATACTTCCAATGTGTGGCAAAACTGCGCCTATTGGTTATACCTTGAAGGTTAAAACTATGAAAAAAAAACCATACTTGAAAAACTCCTCCTCTTTAGCTTCCTCTCTCCTCCTGCGCCAGTACCGCTGCAAGTTTTCACTAGGTCTTGATATCTCTTCCACCACCCTGACGTATTCATCTTGCTTGTCTTGCCAAGCTCTTTTTAATTCTTCACATGCCACTACAATTTAAAAAGCTGACTTACTTATACTCGCAAATTAAAAAAAAATCAAAGAAAATTTCACAAACAATCACGCGAAACTCACCACAACTTATATATTAAGAAAAACTTATTAAAGCCCTACTTTAAAAACAACTATGAACTTGTTATAAGCTCTTCATAAAATCTTTATGATTGAATGGAATGTTTTTAGAGCTTGTCTTTGTTTATCTAAGAATAAAATAAAAATTTCTTATAACTTCTCTTTGTCAGAGTGTAGACATATTATTCTGTTTATTAAACTAGGCGTACTTAATGTATGAGTATCTACTAATTTTATTATCACAGTTTTCTCAAAGCGAATGAGTGGGATGGTAAAATGTTTTTGTACTAGTACGTCGGCAATGGATACTCACGACTCGTGGTCAGTGTATTATATAACTTACCTTCTCCCGTCTTAGCAAATATCGGTGGTTGAGGAGGTTTCTGACTTTCAGTTGTTATTGTTGGACGAGCACTGCTATGTATGTTGTCAGAGAGTTCATTCTTCAAGTCTAAGTAGATCCTACACAAAGTATGTTTTATGTTTTCCCTTTAGTACGTTTTCTTAGTGTTTTTAATTAGCAATAAATAAGAGATATATGCCACCAGTCATTGCACATTAGCGGACAATATTTAAAATTATAAAAGCATTGATTGTTGAACTCACGCTACTACGGAAAATTCAGGTAGCTACTTGCACGTTTGCCGCCTTATAAAAGAAATCTGGGGGATATTTCAAGCGATCATAGCTTCTTTATCAATAAAACAACTAGGACAACATCGGCTACGACCCAATTTATAGTATGCATTCGTGCGTTTACAATTTTTAAGGATACTAGGTCCTCACAAGATAGACCTTTGGTAAATAGTGCCCGATTAAGGACCATTATCTGTCAATGGATTTAATGCCTTGATGAATAGACAATAGACAAACCTGTGAGCGATTTCTTGCAATTTTTCGTCAATTTTTTTCTCCTCCTCAGTCCGAGGGTCTCTGATAGGAACTTGTTGTATAGCTTCCGATTCAGATTGCATCATACGCCGATATTTTAATACAGCCTTTACCATTTCCTTACCACCTTTCATATCGTTCCTCGACTCTTCGTCCCACAATAACTCTAGGGTCCTTCGCATAATTACTTTTTATTAGTTAAATCAGTGACACGAT